GCAATTATTCAGCGCTTAGCTCATTTAAATGGAGCATCTGAAGAGCAACTGTGATCTTGGAGCTCAACTAATGAGCTAAAGTGGAGAGAGAGAGATTTTTCTACCTCAAGAATGTGTGCTAGGATAGATTATGGACATAGGGGGTCCTGTCTTGGCCCTTCTATTAAGCTACTTGTTTAAGTTTAGCCATATCTCTCTGAACTTTGATTCTTTCTTCATCACAAAAGAAGGGGTGGGTTTAGATCAAGGATTTAGTTGGGTTCCAAGGAACGGTATTAGGAGGTCGCTGAACCCCTAGAAGTTAAAGGAAAATTTGATGCGTAAATGTCTTTTTCTAAGAAGTGGATTCAGGGTTTTCATTGGATTCTCAGAGGGGCCTGGGATTCAAAATTTTAAGAAACACTGCACTGATTTAGACAGTATCTTATCTTTTCCCCATGTCTGATAATCTTTGACTCTACCTTTTAAAAATGTCTGTCTAATTCATCATCATTAGTTATATTTAATGAAATATACTCATGCATACTTTTTGTCCAGTTGAGCACAAGACAAAAATTGAATGAGACCAGATATGAGCCTACTGGGAACATATCTTTATTATGACCATCACTATTAATGTGGGAAGATGAGGGAAGGACATGGAAGCCTACTGAGAGTGATCATCAAGCCATGGGCCAGTAGGCTGTTTAAGCACTCCTCAAACTCATTTTCTCAGAAACAAAGCCCCTTCCCCATCCTGGCAAAAGTTTCAATGAAGTCTATTGTTAATCTGGTGCTAACAGGATTTCGGTGGTGGTCCAGTGGTTAAGAATCCGCCTGCCAATCCCGGGGACATGAGTTTGATCCCTGCTCTGATGATTCTACATGCTGCAGAACAATTAAGCCCATGAGCCACAACTACTGAGCCCGAGCGTTCTATAGCCCACGTTCCACAACTAGAGAAGCCACTGAAACGAGAAGTCCGAGCACCACAACTAGAGGAAGGCTACTAACAGCAACAAAGACCCAGTGTGGCCAAAAATTAATTAATTAATTAATGAGTAATAGAAGAAAAAAATTTTTTAAGTCTATTAAAAAAATCTGGTACTATCAATACAACCAGTTTGTATAACAGATGTATTGTCTGGTCCCTGTCCATGTAATGTTCTATGTAAAATTTTTATACATAATTAAAACAGTACAGGTTGTATTTGCATTAATGGACAAGGAAGCACAAAAGCAAACAGTTAAAACTAGGCTCCTCACAGTTGTGTTGTTCCACAGTCAAAGAGTAATCATATTCCAAAGCTTTCACTTCTCTTGACCTTAAGTGTTCCAAATGTTTCAAAAATCCAACTATTCTAACAGATAGTTTCCACTCTTTCAGTTTATGCAAGGTACTGAAAGTGATACTCAGATGAATGAGGCATGGAGCTTACACTCTAAGCATTCAGATCACTATAATACAAAGCAGCACAACAGAAAGGCTGTTGAGATTCAAGGAAGGAATGAAAGTATATTCTGTTGGCAAAATCATGGATGGGTGTATGGAGGAAGTGGTATCTGAGGTGAGACTTAAAGGGTGAACAGTATTTTGATCTGAAGTCAACAATCTAAGGGTGGAGAGTAAGAGGACATTTTTGATGGAGGAATTATCATAAACAAAAGCAGAGAACCAGAAAGAAGCATGGAGCATAATGTGAATACAGGACGTATTCCAGGTTTATTGAAGAGTTGTGTGTGTGTGGGGGTGGGGTGACGAGTTGAGAATGATACTGTGTAATATCTTTAACATGAGAATGAACCTCAGTGCTATAATAGGCAATGGAGACTACTCCAGGTTTATGGAGGAGCAGAGCAAGATCAAGGAATCAGAGAAAATTTGAATTTAAAATCCCTCCACCCTCATTTTACAGTCAAGGGAGTCAGAACAAGAACCCAGAAAGCTTGCCAGATTCATAATCCAAATTCTTTGCCTTATAACAGCTGTTTCATGAGATTACTGGGGTAGCAGTGTGCAGGATGAAGAAGAGAGAGCTCAAGCAGGAGGCCATGTGGCTGCTATTACAGAAGTCTAGGAAGAAGTTCAGATGGGATAATGAGACCTGAGCAACAGGGGAGAGGGAAGGGCAGCAGGCAGAGGAGGAGCTGGGAGAGCCCACAAAGTCCCCCTTCTTTCTCCTCCATGGAGATCAGAGATCAGATCAAGAATGAACTTCTTGTTCAATCACATCAGAGAGGTGGGACATTTGATTTCCCACTGGTGGGTCTAGAAAGGAAGGAGTCATTAGGTCCATGCTTTTTCAGATTATGAACGCTTAGCCGTTCGGACTCCCCTTCAATACTGTACTTTCTCCAGAAAAAAGAGGCCAGAAATCACACTAGCAGTGGCCAGAAGCCACCCCGGAACTGTCCCTTTCAGGGACCAGAGATGATTTTAGGATTCAGGCAACTCTGAGGGCTTTCCTCTTGGCTTTGCTCGAGTGCCCGCCCAGGCATCCCAGGGCTCAGAACCTCAGCTTTACTATGTTGTGTTGGTTTCTGCCAACATGAATCAGCCATAAGTATATATATGTCCCCTTCCTCTTGAGCCTCCCTCCCACCTCCCACCCCCCACACCACCCCTCTAGGTTGTCCCTCTGTGACTTCATACTTGAACAGTTTATTTAATTTGAGATCTGGGATGTCATGAATCTGTGCACTCTGACAAAGACATAGATATGGCGAAAGCTTAATAGTAGGTGATCATCCTGCTCTCAGGCGACCAGTAGATGAGCATCCAGTTATGCACAATTCTAAGTCGGCAGCCCACTTGCCCTCTTCTACATGGCCTTTGGTATATAAAGACCGAACCCCCATCCTCCCCAAAAAAAACATCATGAGAAACAGCTTCTATGAGAAAGAGTGCCAACCCAACAGATGATATTCTCACCAGAAGAATGATTACACACAGTAGGCACTCAATAAAAAAGGGCCAGGGAATCAACGTTATCTTTTGATCCATGTCTTAGTCTGTTTTCTCCTTTTCATGAACCAAGAGATGGACCATCATCAAAGCTGGCTGATTTCAACTGACCATGTGGGCCAAAGTCACTTTCCATCAGAAACTGTGCCCAAAGGGGGCTGGAGTAGAGCAGGGACTCAAACGCCCTTGTTTTATTTTCCTTCCCCAGGCTCTTCCCACAGGCAGGATCACGCTGACATTTCCTGCTCCATGAAAAGGACTGAACAGGATCTCACTGAAGAAAACATCTTTGAGTCCTTCTGTGGAGCTGGAAGGCTGTATTCATGGCAGGTTAGTGAGCAAACAACCTACATTCAAATCCTGTCTCTGCTAATCAGGAGCTTATGGCTTTGAGTGAGTTATTATATTTGACCTCTTTACATCTTGTTTTCTTCATCTGTAAAATGGGGATCATAACAGCGGGTGGCCAATAAAGTTGGTGTGAAGAATAAATAAGCTAACAAGATGGCCCATGTAACATGTTCAGCATAATGAGTACTCAGTGAATTTCAGCTGTTTTGAATAAGACTGCTCTGACGTTTGAGCCTACTAACTTTTGGTGATTGGTGGCTTAGGGGTAGAGGCTGTTAAAGGTGACAAAGGTGCCATCCAAATACGCCAGCTGTGCCCAGGAGTGATACTGCCATACTTGGCTGGTATTTAAAAGAGATGAGAAAAATCATGGCTCCTTACATGCCCTACTTGAGCAATAGTTCAGGTTAATCCACCTCTTTTATTCTCTTAACCTGGGTGATGGGTTATTGTTGGCCTGAGGCTGGCCTAGCCAGTTTGTAAGGTTTCAAAAAGAGACAGCCCTGGACATCTATTTCAGAGGGACTTGTTAGTGCCTCTTCGCTTTGGTTTGGGGGATTTTCTATCCATCAGGCCCCAAGCAAACTCCTGGTGTTTAAGGCTGTCAGAGACAGAAGGGACTTAGGAACTGTCTGGTTTGCTTGTTTTGGAGCTAAGGGAACTGAAGGCCTGGGTAGTGGGTACGTGGTCCAAGGTCAACCAGCTGGTCAATTCAAAACCGGGGGGCTGTTCTCCCCTGGCCTCATGTCCAGGGCAGCGCTCATGCTCCACGCCTGTTGGCTGTCTGGCTTTCTGAACTCTGGCTCACTTTTGGTCCTGGGTCAGGTGTAGCCCACGCTTCCCTGGTGCCTGTGCTGACTTTTCTTCAGCTCCCCAGCCACCTTCCCTGCCCTGGTGCATCCCATTGTCAGCTCTTGCCCATACATCCCGGGTACTGTCCTGTAGACCTGCCTGCTTCCTGCCTGGGGTGAATCTTTGCCTTGGGGCCTCCCAGGCCTCAGGAGTCCCGCCTGGGTGACCCCTGGAAGGGGCACGCAGACAGCACTTCTCTGCTTCCCTCTCTACTCTCCCGTGCTCCATCTTTCTTCAGGTCTTGCTCGGCCTCCCTCAGTCTTGTTCTGCCTCACTATCCTCCTTTTTTCTCCTGCTCCCAGTCCTTTCCCTTCCCCTCTCTTCCTCCCAGGCGCTCCACACCCTCCTGGTCCTCCTGGTGCTCGGCCCTTCCCCTCCCCGGCTATCCTCCCCCCTCCTCCCCTACTCATTTTCGTTTACCCTCCAACACATCTGTTTCTAATCTGCGCCCTCCAGGCGCCTGCTTGAAACGAAAAAGCTCCCCCCACCCTCAGGAACCTGGCACAAAACATTCCTGAATAAACCTTCCCTCCCCTAATTCTCCAGTTTCCCCAGATACCCCTGAAACTAAATACCGCCCCCCCAAAGGATCCTCCACACCGAGCGGTTCGCCGCCCAGCTCCACCAGGAAACCCCCCACCCCAAAGCCTGCTCCAGGCCCAGATGTTCGATGGCCGACCAGGCGGCCCTCCGCTGCCAGATGTGCTCAGAGTGGCCCAGGAGGCAGGCACAGAGGCGCCCGGCTCACTCAGGGGCCGCGGGGAGGAACGTTCGGAGCCCGCGTCGCCGCCCGGGTGCGGGACAGTGTGTTCCCCGGGGCCACTCGCCCTCCCGTCCTCCCCCAGGCACTCACCTAGCCCCAGCAGGACGAGGAGGGTCATCCCGATGCCCGGGAGCGGGCTCCTCCCCGCTCAGCCGCTGCCTGGCTCCGGTGGCGGGGGGGTGCAGCAGAGCGCAGCCGACGGACCTCTGCCGAGCTGGGCGCGGCGACTCGGGGTGCGCGCGGGGTGGCTGCAGCCATGTGCCGGCGCGGGAACGGCCCCACGCCCCGCGCCCGGCTCCGGGGTCCCCGCGCCCCGCGCAAAGGGGCTTCCAGTGCTCGCCCCACCAGCTTGCACCCGGACGGGAGCGGGGACCCGGGTCAGCGAGGAAAAGATGAGACGGAAAAACGCTACCGCTTCGTGGAACACTTTTCCCTGTTTGGAAAGAAAAAGGAGTGAAGAAAGAGAGAAGGGAAAAAAAAAAGAGTGAGCTGGAACCACATGGTTGCCTCCCACCGGCAGCCCCTCCCTCGCTCGCTCGCTCGCTGCTCCCTCCCTCCCAGCGCTCGGGGCGCGCGGGGCGCCGGCTGGGCAGCCGCGGGGGTCGGCGGGGGTCGGCCCGGGGCGGGGCGCTCTGTTGGCGGCCGCGGGGAGGAGAGGGCATGCAGCCGCGCGGGGGCCGGTGTGGGATCCACCCTGTAGGAGAGAACCGGGGACACTTGGGCCACGAGCGAGGATGAGGCCTTGTCAGTCTCCTCGGTCTGCGTCCTCACTTCGTCCTTATCTCTCCACTTCTCTCGCGCATCCTTTTCTCGCTCACACACACTCTGGTTTCCGCGCAAGTCTGCGTTGTCTCGGCTTCCATCTCTCTGCATTTCTCTCGCGTTTGCATTCTCCTTGCCTCTCCCACCTCCTCGCTCCTCTTCCCTTCCTTCCTCACTCTTTCTCCTCTCCTCAGCCATCCCTGCCACGTTGAGTCGGGGTGAAACTCCAGACCCACCTTTCCGGACGGCTCAGCCTGAAAATGACTGTCGGGGCTATCAAGCGCGGGTCTGGTTGCGCGCTTCTGACTTCCCTGTCTTTCCCTTGGCCTTTGGCCTTCTCTCTTTCACTCTCAGGGATGATCCCGGCAGCCCACCCTAGGATCGGGCCGAGCTAAGCGGACGGGGGTTCAGAACTCGGTGCAAAGGGGTCCGTTGGGACGCCCTGGTGCAGACCACCCTGCACGTGGCCCTGGGCAAAACAGGTATCACCCTGTTTCAGAAAAGAAGGCAGAGGACACGGATTACCTCCTCTGTACGAGGGACCCCGTCAAGGAAACCCTGGGGGCGCCGCCGCGCGCTCCCAGGTGCCTGGGGTTGTACCCACCAGGACCCCCGGCGGCGGGAGGAGACCGCAGCGACTGCCACACTGAGGTCTCACCTGCACTGGGGCTCTGAGAAAGCCTGGACATGCACTCTCTGGTCCCTGGCCTCTGGATGTCCTTGGAGAGGTAGCAGCTCCTTCAGCCGTAAGAGGCACGACCTCACCGTGCCCGCTGAGTGGAGCTGGGGCCAGCCTCCGGCGGGCGGCGGCGTCTGCCCAGTGCGTAGGAGAGATTCACCCCTGGGCTTGGCAGGCTGCTCCATCACACTTTCAACCAGGTCTCTCTCCCCGCGCCTTTAGAAGCCAGGGGGTGTATCGCTGCTGCTGTTGCTGCTGCTAAGTCGCTTCAGTCGTGTCCGACTCTGTGCGACCCCATAGACGGCAGCCCACCAGGCTCCGCCGTCCCTAGGATTCTCCAGGCAAGTCCTCCCTAATTAGCTTGTCTTTTCCTATTGCCATGAGCCAACCCCATTGCATAGGTGAGGAGAGCACAGGCCTGGAGAGGTTGTGGCGCTCCCACCAGGTCCTTCAGAAGGGAAGGCGAAGGCGAGGGCTGCTCTTGGGGCTTTGGGATCAGCTGTGAGAGTTGCGCCAGTAAAAGTCTTAGCATTCCCCACCCCCTCTTTCCTCGCCCATCCCTTACCCCCGACCTTCTTCAGTAACAATTTATTATGCATCTACTCTGTGCCAGATGCTTTTTCAGGCATTGAGCACACAAAGTGAGTAGAACTTGGCTATTGACATTTTTTAAACATCTGGAATTAGTATATCTTGGCACCAACTATAGACAAGGAAGCATATTATCTTTTTATTAATTCTTATGATAATGCTAAAGGATAGGCAATTTTTATTCCATTTTAAAGAGGGGGAAGGACTTTCCTGGTGGTCCGGTGGCTAAAGACTCTGCACTCCCAATGCAGGGGACCCAGGTTCAATCCCTGGTTAGGGAACTAGATCCCACTTGCCGCAGCTAGGAGTTCACATGCTGCAACTAAAGATACAACATGCTGCAACCAAGACCCAGCACAGCCAAAGAAATAAATACATAAATAAAATATTTAAAGTTGAGGAAACTATAACTTAGAGATGTTAATTATCTTGCCCCAGGTCCCAAAATATTAAAACTCTTCTATTCCAATATTAATATTCTAATGTTATTTTATATTAAAAATAAATATTTTAAAAGTATTTTTGTTCCCCATTTTATATTTCTTGTCTAATAGGAAAAAACACTCATAAATATAATTCACAAATGAATGTGTTGAAAAAATGTCAGTTCTCTTAAAGGCTGAGGAAGGTAGGAAGGTGACTTATAGAGAAAGCAACTTTTTGTCATTTCTGTCTTGAAATTTAACATTTTGATATATTTTCAGATATATGAAAGCTGCAAAAACATTACAAAGATTTTTGATACACTTCATCCAGATTTCTTTTATTTCGTTATATTTATACTTTTTGTTTCTTTATAAAGGAGATATTTTTGTAAGTTTTAAAGCCCCATCTCTATTCCTTCACTGCTGGTGGCCTTTCTGATGAACTCATGATACCATGTATTGCATGAGGGCTGGTGTGCACATAAAGACAGATGTATGTGGGTGCAGGCAGACGTGTGTTTAAACTTACATTGCTCAAGCTGAAGATAACAAAACGCCTTCAGCTCTAAGCTGTTAGTCAGTTGGTGGTATAGGAAATGGGGCTTCCCTGGTGGCCCAGTGGGCTTCCCAGGTGGCACTAGTAGTAAAGAATGTGCTGCCAATGCAGGAGATGTGCGAGAAGAGGGTTCGTTCAATCCCTGGGTCAGGAAGGGGGCCATGGCAACCCACCACAGTATTCTTGCCTGGAGAATCCCATGGACAGAGGAGCCTGGCAGGCTACAGTTCTTGGGGTCATAAAGAGTCAGACATGACTTAGCAACTAAACAACAACAAAGCATAGGAAATGCCAATTTCTTATGAGTTTTGCTAAAATTGGGTCATAAACATTCAGTTTACCCAGGTTTAAAGTCTTATAGCCAGTCTATATTGGGCATCTTCTCCTTGAGGAGAGTCCACAGGTCTCTGCAGATGACTATTTCTGAATCCGAAGCCTCCTATCTGTTGCCCGGGAGCAGAGTGCCCCGAGATGGCTCCGTAACTCAGAAACACATAGCCTACCTATGCTGTGTTCACACTGATCGGGCTGGGTGCCATGGGGATCTGAAGAGGTACACAGCAGTCCTTACCCTAAATGGATCTCTCAGTCCAGTGAGAGAGGAAGCATCAATATGCGAAATGTTTCCACAACAAACACGAAAGTTATGTAGTTAAGTGCTGGAATAAATTATCCTGACAACAAGAAACACTGGGAATTCCAGGAAGGGAGGGAGCATTGTGGGCTTGGGTGGCTGTGAAGGTTCCCTGGGAGGACACTTCTTGAGCCAGGCCTTGGGGGATGGAGAGAATTTCACTAGATGAGAGGACCTGGGGAGGACCACTGAGGGGCAGGGGCACTCCTGAATGAAAACATGGACTTCGGAGTAGCTGGGGTATATTCAGGTGGCATTGAATGGTATGAAATCCCTGAAATGAAAAATTGGTGGTGCAAAATGCTTTGGAACAATTAGCCTGCAGCAAATTGTGAGGAGTCCTGAATGTGAGGCAAAGGACTGGACTCTGGAACTTGCTCTGCACCTTCTCCAGGCATCCTGGAAAAAATTTAGTAAAAATGACTTCGATGAAAACCATATTTTAAGACATATAAATTGGCAGTGCCCAGAGGTGATCCTACAGATTGGCCAAGGGTGGAAAGCTTTAGTATCCTTTCTTATCCATCAGGCTCTCTATCCCCATGCTTTAGTACAAACAATTACATTTTCTCAACATTTTGTAAAGCGATATGCACGTACAGCCTCAAGACAAGTCCCTTACCCTCCCCACTCCAAGTGGAGCCAGAGAGCCACCATATCTCTTCTCCACAGGAATGATAGAGCCACTGCAGGGTGTGCATGAAACAATGGAAGAAAAATCTGAAGAGAAACTGGTTAGAACCTACTGTGTTAAATGGGGAGATGAGGTGAGGGTGGTGAGACAAACAGAAGATATTTGGGAGAAAGATAAGCCAGATTAAATATCCATTGGTCATTGTGGGTGGGAGAGGGAGCACAAGACAAGAGACACTAAAGATAAGTGATCTATTATGTTGTTATATATGCTAAGATTAAAGCTATAATTATAGGCCTTCTAGTATATTCCAGGGATTATGTGTCATCAATAAGCCTCACTATAACATATTAAAATGAGTATACCAATCACTAATTGAGTAATTAAGTAAATTGTATCTCATTCCATGGTTAGTAAATGATTGAGCCAGGATTTAAAGTTAGAAGATGGAAAGCCCCCACTGACTTTTGATGATAATTGCTCCTAGGGAGTCAAGTAAGTTAATTTGTCAGAAAGGGAAAAATCAATTTAACTTGAGATACTGTAACTCATAGAAAATGATAAACCACATCTATCCATTCATCCATCTGTTCATCCACTTTTCTATTTTTAGTTTGAATCAATAATTCAGTAAATCCTCGTTAAGTACCTACTAGGTGCCAAGCACTGGGAAGTCAATGGTGAACAAAGCAAAAGTTGTCCTCACCCTCCAGAAGCATATGGTAGGTTAAGGAAGATGGACAACAAAGAAGCAATCACAAACCAGAGTGAGAAATACTCTGAAGGGTGTGCAACTGATGGCAGGACCCTGTACCTGGTGTAGGAGACATCAAGGTA